ACAACAGCTAGTAAGCATTACCTAAAGTAAAAATAGAAGAATAGGAGAATAGAAAAATTCAAGTAACAAATGAAGAGCAAACCTGAGGCAAACCTTTTTTGAATTATTTATTCTTCATCTTTCAAATCTTTATTTTTTCTTTCAATTTTTTCCCTTCTTTTATTCCTCCCCCCTTATCTGTCCCGTCTGCACCCTTCTTCCTGTCTTGCCTGCCGGTTCGTCAGCCAAGTTGAACCCATGCCATCCCATCACGTCCCACCCCCTGGGACACGGCTCGGTTCATTCGATACATCTCCCCTTCCCTTCCCTTTCTCCACAGCGGAATATTTCGCCACCACGTAACATGGCATGCACTCTTCAGCACAGAGGGGGATCGTCACAACTCAGATACCATCTCTCTCTCTCTCTCTCTCTCCACCGAGATTGATGTGTGCGGTATTTACGCCGTTGTGCATCAGTACGTCGACGATCGGGACATCTAGCCTTAGTCAGAGCACGTGACGATGGATGTCGAGGGGGCGCGTGAGAGTGTGAGGGAGGACTGTCGACCTGTCTCGGACCGTTCAGCGCACTTCTATTCTCCCTACTATCAACATCTCTAGAAATAAGATAGAAAAGAGAAGAAGAAATGGAGGTAAGCGTCCATATTCATAGCGGGTAGACATGAGTCGTAGGATAGAGGACAGTAGGGTGTTGGGGGGGGGGGGAGAACGTGATGCAGATGCAGATGCAAAACCAGGACAGTGACGAGACCGCAAGGTACATACACACGAGACGAAGAAGAAGAGTGAGAGTGAGAGTGAGAGTGTATGCGAGAGAGAGTGATCATCTTCATCATGTCGTATTTCCATCCAACTCGAGCTCCGTCTCCAACTTGCCATTCTTCCCATCCGCCTCCATCTTGGGCGTATTACCCGCCGTCACCGTATCTTCACTGGTCGTCAGTCCCTTTCTGATCGCCAGGACGCTGTCTACAATGACGGCGTCGATGCCTTCTTTTACCTGTCGCTGTTGTCCCGTGTCAGCACCGCCTTCTCCTCTCTCTTCGGTTAAAAATAAATAAAAAATAAGAATGAAAACAAAAATAAATAAAAAAGAGAGAGGAGAGGAGGAGAGAAGAGGCCGAGAGCAGCGCTCCGCTCCCCTCCGCTCTGCTGCGGCTTACCTGGACGAGTAGGGGATCGTTGTTCAGCACGCCGTAGCTGACGCACACCAGCCCATTCTCCTTGACCACCCTGACCAGTCGGGGGCTGTTGATGAGCGGCTCCGCCGCCGAGACGATGCCCAGGAGGTTCCACCGGCTGGCGAAGCGGATGCCCTCCTGCAGCGACGAGGCCCGTATGTCCCCGACCGGGCTGCACCCGGCGTCCGTCAGGAACAGGATCGGGATCGACGGCTGCTTGTAGCTGAGGCACAGGCAGATGTCCGGGTTGAAGGAGCTGAGTATCAGGTGCCTCTTCTTGCCCGCCAGGTCGTACACCTTGGACAGCACCGTGTCGCAGAACGAGTTGAGCTCGACGGCGTACGTGTCCATCTCGTGCTCCTCGCTCTCGTGCAGCATCGGGTACTTCATCTCGATGTTGAAGCCGATGTCCTCCGGCAGCTTGAGGAACAGGTCCTCCAGCGTCGCGAACGGCGCCTGGATGAACTTGCCCCGCGAGTTGGCCTTGTACCCCTTCTCCTTGAAGTCGCGCGTGTGCCGCATCCGCATCTCCAGCTCGCTCGGCTCGTCCGGTCCCGGGTCGCCCATCGACCGCGACCGCGCCGGCGTGAAGCTGCTGGCCCGGTTGCGCCGCGGGCCGTCGCGCGCGGACGCCCCGTGCTCGCCGCCGGCGCCCTTGGCCGCCCTCGGGTGGTTCCGCCGGCTGTCCGGGTGGATGTGCAGGAACTGCTCCAGCGTCAGCGTGTGCACCGGCGCGTCGATGCCCGTCTCGCTGACGAGGAAGTCGTGGTACACCACCGGCACGTGGTCCTTGGTCAGCTGCACGTCGAACTCGACGTAGTGCGCCCCCAGGTTGGCCGCCGCGATGAAGGACGGCAGCGTGTTCTCGCCCAGCTGCAGCGACCGGTTCGACGTGATGTTCTTGCCCAGCCCGCGGTGCCCGATGACCATGGTCGACGACAGCTTCTTCCAGTACGTCTGCTCCGACGTCACCTCCATGTTGGCGTGGTGGAAGGGCGTGATGACGAGGAAGTTGAAGTTGACCGTGCCGATCACGTCCAGGCTGCTCGACATGATGGGCACGCACACGTCGCCCTGCAGGTTCATCCGCCCCGTGCCCAGGTTGGGCTTGATCGACGACAGCAGCGCCACGGCCCGCCCGATCTTCTGCTTCTTGCTGCCCGAGTACGTCGGCACGATGTCGAAGAAGAGCTTGACCTTGGTCGCGTCCCCGGCCGTGAAGACGATGGGCTCCGTCGACGCGTGCTCGTGCAGGGGGAGGTCGATGATGGTCGGCTCCCCGGACGCGCCGTTGGCCGAGACGACGACCGACAGCGCCGTGTCCAGCTGCGTGTTGTGCGCCTCCGTCAGGGGGACGCGGTCCAGGGTGACGGCCTCGGTGCCCTTGCGCGAGTCCATCGACCCCAGGCTGACGTGCACCAGGCTCTCGTCCGTGAGGTAGCGGTGGCCAAACGTCTTGACCGGCTCGGCCGGCCGGGCCATGCTGCCGCCCGACGTGTTCCCGTTGGAGCTGCGCTCCTCTATCGAGCTGCTCTCGCCGGGCGTGCGCGCCGGCGACCGGCTGGCCGGGGGGGAGTCCCCGGCGCCCTCCTCGGTCTTGCCGGCCAGCAGCCGGGCGATCTCCATGTGTCCCCTGAGGGCGGCGTGCTCCTTGGCCGTCCAGCCGGACGAGTCGGGGCGCGAGACGTCGGCGCCGGCGGCCACCAGGACCTTGACGACCGACAGGTGGCCGTCGACCGAGGCGACGTGCAGCGGCGTCCAGGCGTACGTGTTCTCGGCGATCTCGAGGTCGGCCCTCTGCGTCTCGCTGCCCCTGATGATGACCTCGGCGCACTTGTCGTTGCCGAACCTGGCGGCCACGTGCAGGGCCGACTCGCCCGACTGGTCCCTCCAGTTGATGTCCACGCCGGCCTTGACCAGCGTCTCGACGATGACGGTGTAGTTGGCCTTGGTGGCGAGGGTCAGGACGGCGCCCGACTGGGCCACGGCCTTGCGGGCCTCGGCCTTGGTGTCGCTGCTGGGCTTCCAGTTCTCGCCCTGGAGCAGGGCCTGGGTGGTGAGCGGGTGTCCGCCGATGACGGCGAGGTGCAGCGGGGCCTGGCCGTCGTTGTCCTGCCACTCGGGGGCGTCGATGCCGTTCCCGACGTCGAACTGATCCCACTCCTGCATCTTGGACATGACGATCTGGCAGACGACGACGAAGCCGAACTGGGCCGCGTAGTGGAGGGGCAGGCGGCCAAACGTGTCGCGGCTCTTGAGCGCGGCGTGCTGCTCCGGCTTCAGGTTGTCGAGGACGAAGGTGAGCATCTGGACAGCCTCGTCGTCCTTGGTCAGGATGCTCGTCTCCTCCGTGTTGAGCAGCTTGGCAGGGACCGACGTCGACACGGCGGGCTGGATGTGGCGGTTGAACTGGGTGCCGGCGGGGACGGGGTACGTCATGGCGTCCTGGCCGGAGGCCGTCTTGGAGCGGCCGATGTGGATGACGAGGCGGTGGATGCAGTTGCGGCCGTTGATGTCCTCGGGCTCCTGGAGGGAGCTGACGCGGCGCAGGAGGTAGGCGACGCAGCCTCTCGAGCGGGCCGAGATGGAGCGCTGCAGCAGATTGAGCATGAGCTTCTGGGAGCCGGTGCCGGGCGTGATGTTGGCTTCGCCGAGGCCCTTCTCGAGGCCGTCGACGCTGTCGGTGCGGACCGCGTGGTCGAGGGAGTCGAGCTGGGCCTGGGGCAGGATGACGAGGGCCTTGGAGGAGGCGCGGCCGAGGGAGCGGTTGGAGCGGTCGGAGCGGGCGTCGTCCATGTTCTGGGCGTCGCCGAGGACGGAGAGCCACCGGTTGATGTCGGCGAGGAGGCGGCTGGTGTTGCCGTCCCTGGCAAAGGGCCTCGGCTCGACCTTTGTGGAGATGTAGCGGTGCTGGGTGGCGATCTCGGGGACCTTCTTATCGAGCTTCTTGGTGATCTTGGCGAAGCCGCGGCGGTTGATCTCGCCGAACCACTGGAGATTGCGCAGCTGGGTCCTCAGGTCGAGCAGGGCGCCCATGACCTCCTCGATCTCGTCCTGGTCGAGCGACTCGACGACGTCGGGGACGTGGCCGTACCGGCTGTGGAGGACGTTGAGACGGCGGCACGAGTCGGCCAGCTTCTTGCTGTAGAAGGAGTCGACATTCTCCAGGTTTCGATCCAGGGCGAAGAAGAATTCTGCCGGGTGGCGGGCGCGGAGAGAGAGAGAGACAGAGCAAAAGAGGTTAGGAGATGGGTCGGCGCACAGTGGTTTTTTTTTTTCATGTCATGACGAGAAAACGACGTGGGCAAAGGGTTGGGTTCATGTTCAGGTCAGCCCACCTGCTGGATCTACCTGCTCCCCACTCTTGACTTTCTGGGATGCAGCCTTGATGAGCTTCTTGAGGCCCTTGTAGTTGATGTAGGCGCCAGACCACTCGGGCACCTGGTTACGCGGTAGGCTTGTAGAGGAAGGTGGGCAGTGTCAGCAGCAGGTCCCGAGCAGTCTAACCTCCTCCGACTCCGTCCACGAGACGGACCTTGGGTGGGTGTGAGACGGGAAGGAGGAGGGCAAGGGGAAGGGAGAGACTGACTTGCGACCAAACTTCATAGTGTCTGCGTGTGCGTGAGCGTGAAGAGAGAGAGAGAGAGAGAGAGAGATGTCTAGCCGATCATCGGAGGACGTCTAAGCGTGGCGATCAACGACGTAGGGAGTCCCGGCGCACACGCGTGTTCTAGTCTGCCAAGTATATATGATGAAAGAAAAGGACCGGCCGCGAATTGACAAGGAAAGCCACGGTCGTGATAAGGGATATAGAAGGGAGAGAAGGAACAGAGAGGGGATAGAGGAGGAATTGGGAGAAGAGAGAAGAAGAAGAAGACACGATGTATGGACAGAGGGAGGGAGGACGAGGACGAGGACGAGGACGAGGACGAGGGGGGAAGATGGGATGTACTGTTCCTGTACAGAGCAGTCAGTCAGAGGGAGGAAACTACTACCTGTGC